GTAAGCTGTATTGGAATTTTATGTGATTACACGCATCTTAAAATATGTATGCCTTTAATGTTTGTAAGTCACTTGGAGTCCTGTATTCCTGGAGAAAAGCAGCATATAAATATACTAAATCAAATAATCTATAAATACTTGGCCTAAATGAGGTTTCTCAACTCCAACTTTGTCTTTTAACATTTTTTTCTTCCAGAAATAAGAGCTGGCTCACACATTTGCACACCAAGCTGATACAATCTTCTTGCTGTGTTCCTGTTAGAATTTATCACAGAGATCAGGCTAGTTTTCAATACTTTTTCATTGTGTTAGCATATTTGACACAGAGCATAATTCACACCCCGGCAGTGCTTTCTAACTAGCAGTTGCTGTCATCGAAGTCTGAGGTACGAGAGTCTCACCTCAGCAAACAAACAGCATTGGCCATTCGTTCCAGTTGCATATGAAACACCTCCACAATTCTTGCCATGCAGCCTTTATATGTTTTCCTCTTTTATGCTTTCTGTAATTATGCACATTTTAAAACTGCTGTGTTGAGATCAAGGGCACTGCACAAAATTGCACAAGGCTTGCTAGAATTAAGAGGGCAGGACCAGAAATTGCATTCCTAGCAGAATTGCAAATAAGTAAAGTTCAAACTTATATCCCTTTAAAAAATGTACACAAGTCTTCTTCCAATACAGCACTCAGTACACTGAAAAACATGCTATGTAATGTTATTTTTAAACAAAGGATCTTTGTATCTGTAGAAATACAGAAGTCACCATAATTTCACCAGCAGAGTATATCTGAGCAGTTTCTTGGGACGAGATGCCAACTGCATTAACATCCAGCAGCAATACTGCAACTTTAGATGCTCATCTCCTACAATGCAAGGTTCTTTTTCTGTCAAGCTGTAGATACTTTTTAGGCCTCTGATATGCCTCCTGCTAAAATTTTCTGGGTACGATTGCATGGAAACTGTTTTTTATCTGTTATAATTTTAAAGAATTTAAATATATATATATATTATTTACTAGTAGTTAAGCCCGTTGTAAAAGGAATACAAGCGCTATCAAGATCTCGGCCTCGCCCTCCTCCTTGGCTGCATTCTCATCTATGGTGCCAGTTCTCGTCTGCACGCAGCCCGCCCTGCCACCTGCAGCTGTCCGCAGGCGACAATGACTGGTGCAGCAGCGGCATGGTCAGCCTCCTTACCCTGCAGCCACCAGATCGTTGGGCCTGTCCATCGCCTCACAGCACACCGAGGGCGAAAGGCTGGGCACCACTTCCATGGGCTTGCTGCCTGGCCGGCTCCCTGCACCCTGGCATGGCGGATGACAACTGCTGCAGCACCACCATATTTGGCCTCGGCCTCCAAAGTCTCTGCCCACCAGAGTGTCAGAGGACAGCCCTAGCCAGAGGCACCTGTGTGGAACTATTTGTGTCCACGGAAGCGGCAGTGGGTGAAAGTCGACCCTCCTGCATTGGTCTGCCTGGTCTCCGGCAGGCTCAACTTTCGGACGTCTCCCTGTGACATTGAAGGGTCTCCATGACCAGACGGCTGTCTCCCTCCCTCCCTGGCTGCTTTCCCTCACTAAAAGTGCAAGCCTTAATTGGCTAATGCTGCTGGCTTTCCATTACTATGGGAGCTGTTTGTGGCCAGGAACTGAGAGGATCCATCCCGTTCCCCGACTCCCTCCAGACTGAGCCTGAGATGCTGGACGCTGGCTCTGTGGGCGGGACTGAGGCAATGCAGCAAGGCAATGCAGCCAGGGGATTGGCACACCTCCTGAATGACAGATCAGGGACCCAATTGATTTGGGAGCATGTGGAACGTGTTCAGGAAAGAGTCACCCCAAAACAGAATTATATACAAGGAGTATTAACTTTTGTTAAGTTCCAGTGCATACCCCCTGGCTCTATTCCTGGGGAAACAGCCTATACAGAAGTGTCCCCCCCCCCAAAAAAATCAATATTTAAACTAGTTTTTTTAATCTGCCTAGAATAGAAAAGTGGAGGTTCCAGTCATAAATTAGAATCTGTACTAAAAAGTTTTTGAAAGTACCTCATTGTGAAAATGTAAGGTATTTAAGGTATACAATTCACCATCATGCACTACTTTGTAGTTTTTAACAATTATGTAGTTTTTAACAACTGTGTCAACAGCCCTAAGGACACACAAAATTAAGAATTTGGTTTACCACCCCCTCTGAAGCCTTTTAAATTTAACCCATGTTTGTGTATTAAGTCCTTTAAAAAAAAAAAACCCTCACAGGGCAACAGTCTCTTTGAGAAGCAAGAAACCTGTGCATTTTTTTCCAAGGCAAAGCAGCATGGGAACATCACTGAGGACACCAGGGGAGAAGGGTATCCAAGATTAGTTCTCTGTGATTTGTCTGATGCATCTGATTTCAAACAAAGTCAAGTTTCTTCAAGAATACGATAGGAGTTCAAGTCAGCCACAGGTACATAACTGCTTAGAATTTATAATCAAAAGGAATCTTAGCAAACCCAATAGATTATTTTCACCATTTAAAGGCCAACATGCATTATTCCTTGCTGTTTTTACAGCATGGTGCACACTTCATGACTACAAGTAATTAGTAGCAATAAATTGTAACATGAATTATTCCCTAAAGATTTCCATCCTTTTATCTTGTGGAAAACGTAAACCACAAGAGGGCTTTGCCCTTTATAGTTGCCAATTAGCCTGTTTTTCACTTGAGAGCTTTTATCACTATATATCACCTTTGTTCTAATAAAGTCTCCTTCTACATCTAAGCTAACAATTTAAAATCTGGCATTCTGGTAATGAAGTTCTTAATGGAAATACTTGGAGATGGGTGGGCTGGATTTAAAGCTGCGATATTTGTACCTTTGTTTTAATTAAATACATTTTCTTATAAATATATCTCTTTTCCAATGCGTCTTTTTAATTGTCCCAATGATTTATTCTATTAATTCCCTCTAAATAGCTGCTGTTTCGCTTATTTCATTCCCATTTTTGTTGACTATTAAGTATTACAGTTATTCAAAAGACAATCAAAAGAAAACTCTGTAAAAAGAAACATGTCATTAAAGTTTTATCAGCCAAAGAATACACAGGCAGCTTAATGCACTGCAATATCTGGAACTTTCCTCCAAAGGAGAAATACTTCTCCTCTCACAAAAGGGTATTATACAATCTAACCCTCTGCTTTTCTGGCATTAATCTGCACTTATTACAGTCATTCAAATTATTTAGTCATGGGATTGTTGTTGTTGTTCAGTTGCACAGTCGAGTCCGACTCTTCGCAACCCCATGGACCAGATCCCGCCAGGCCTTCCTGTCTTCTGCCATCCTCTGAAGTTTGCTCAAATTCATGTTCGTTGCATCTATGACACTGTCTAACCATCTCATCCTTTGCCGTCCCCGTCTGAGGCCAGGATACATGTAGCAACCAACCCTGAGACAAAAAGCTTTGCATCCCATAATTGCAACAGTAATCCTCATTTTGGGGCCAAATTCTCACAGTACAGGATCTGGCCTATTCAACTGTTTGTCAAGGTATCCCAACTCAAAATACAGAACAAATGGTAGCTCACTTGCTTTTTGTAGCCCTCGCCCACAAAGGCCAGTCCTACCACATCCTTGAGTCTATTACACATCAGCTTGTAATGAAAGGCTCCATACAGATGAATGGATAAAAGTGATGCAGGAGTCAACCTTATTCTTGGAGTATTGTCTCAGTGTGGACCCAGTAGGCAGCTGATGAAGGAAAACAGTGAGGTCTATAGACTTTCTGTTTTCTAAAGGATGCAACACATAAGCATAATACATAACATCAAGTAATAAATATTTTTCTAAATTGCAAGACAGTTTGTATCTTTTCAGTACAATCCTAAACAAACGGTTGTAAGCCCACTAACTTCAGTAGGCTTAGAAGGATCTGTTTAGGATGGATGTTGCAATTTGGGGTTACATGAGCCTGGACCTTCCTGGTTTTCTGTGCTACGTAGGTTTTGCTATAACTGAGTTTGGTTTCTTGGTTCAGAAGTCCCATAAAGCCTTTGCTCTTTTGCTGGCAGTCTAGGCATAAGACCTAAAGCCTTGCCCTGTAGGTGTACCCTTGCCTGAATTCACATTCCACAGCCTACCAAGTGCCAGCCTCCAAAGCCTAAACATATCTGTCTAGGTCTTTTTAACATGACAGCTAATAAAATATATCTGGACTAAAGATCATACTAGCAAAGGCAAGTTTGGTATATTTTTAATTGACTCCTCCTTTGAGTCCTATTGGTTGAAAAGAGAATAAAAAGAAGGCTTTGGGCTTTGTATGAGGCTGTTTGGCCAACATCCCACCTAGGCTTGAGGGAAGTCTTGGTCCACAGTCCAGGAATTTCTTGAGTCCTATTGGTTGAAAAGAGAATAAAAAGAAGGCTTTGGGCTTTGTATGAGGCTGTTTGGCCAACATCCCACCTAGGCTTGAGGGAAGTCTTGGTCCACAGTCCAGGAATTTCTTGTTCTTTCTGAAGTGTACACTACATCAGATATTGGGATTTTTCTATATGCTGTTGAGTATTGATATTAAATACATGCTATGGAGTTTTACTTGTGCATGGTTTTAGAGTTAATAAATACTTCTAGTTTAAGGCAACTGTTCTTGCTGTGTTTCACTCCCTCTGGAGACCTGAGTTCCCTAGCCAGACTCCACCCACCCATAGAAAGGAACCCTAATGGGGTTGGGGATCCCTGGTAGAGGCCAGGACCCCTAAAATTCCCCTACAGTGGGACTAATGTTTACCTGCTGTCACATAACATACAGAAAAACCCACACATAGAAACCCAGCAAGCCAGAAAAAGGAAGTGGCTAAGGAGCATCTATATTTGACAACCACTTTTAAAGCAACAACACTTGGGAATCTATCACTTTTTATTTAGGCAAACCATAACAAATCATTACTTCCAAAAATGTATGGAGATCATTTATCCTTAGCATATTTGTAAGGTCATTTGTCCTTCCCTACCAAATGTCTGGTTTTGCTGTGCCTTTTCTAAGCCAGTCATTATGTACTACGTAACTTTTTCAGTTTAATTTCAAACCGTTGTTGACTCAGTGCAAGAATTCCAATTCCATGATCTGTAAAGCTATAATCTAGTTTCTCCAGCTCCTCGATTCGATGACTCATGGTGCTGATACTTTTGTCTAGCACTAGAGGGCATTTTGCTATTTGCTCGATGTCAATATTTGCCTGTATGAGGAAATCTATTTTATCATTCAGGTTCTGGGAAGAAAGGTACAGAATGCGAAGGTGCTTCAGCACAAACATATCCACTTCCTTTTCAGTGCACCCGTGAGATAACAGTTTCTCTTTCACGTTTGCAAGAGTTTTTTTAAGGTATTCATTAGAGAGATCTAGAACATCACCTCCTTGACCATGAAGCAACATCAGTAATTCCTCATTGTCCAGATTAAAAGATGACTGCAGTAGATTAATATTGGCTTTCACTTGCTTGCGGCTCCGTAAGAAGATGAAAACATTTCTAGATATCAACTGCTTAACAAAGTCATCTGGATTCTCACCTCCTAGAGATAAACAGATTTCACACAAGAGATCTACCATTTGCTTATTGAGCTCCACGCTGTTAGAAAATACTCTCGGAGTTCTGGTAAGCATCTTGCAAAGATCACTGGGCATTAGCCCAATGGAACAAAAAAATGTTATATTTTCCTGCATGTTTTCATTGTTTCCAGAACGAAAAAAGGATTCTGGGGAACGCTGCAGGATGGTTAAAATTTCCACATCAGTCATCAAAATACTTCGCCAAATTTCCCAGCGTTCTCTGAGAGACTGGTGTGAGCGTGTGATGGCACGTGGGTACCGTGAGATAATACTTGCGATAGTTTCTTTGTTAGCTCCTTTGGCCTGCAAAAACTTCTCCAGGCCTTCTTCATTTGTAATCTGCTTCCTCAGAACACCAGGCTGTCTTTGTCTGACCATTCTGACATCCACACCCAAAGCTTCCAGACTGTGCACCAAAATGGTGTTTTCTTTGTCTAATGCGTCATTGGACTTCCCAAGTTTAAGACAAAAAAACCTAGTTGATCCTCCTATGAACACTATCTCTGTAGTCAATTTGATAAGCCAGGACTTCTTCATGCTGGAAAGGAACAGGTGGTTTATGTTCATCAGCCCTCTCACAGCCATTATCAATTAGACTCTGACCAACTCCAAACAGATCTGTACTTCCAATCAGTTCAAGCGCTTTAAGGTAAGAGAGGAAGAGAAAGAGAAGTTATTATGAGCAGCCATACCCACAGCATTTATGAACATTATTTATTGAAAACACTTCTATGCTGCCATTCTACTAAGGGTCCCCAAGGCAGCAGACATTCCAAACATTAAAACAAGCTTTACCACTAGGTAAAATTTCAATCAGTTAAATAAAACATATAAACACATAGACATAGAGACATACAAGCAAAAAGGAGACTTAATAAGAATGACAGAACGACAAACAAAACAAAGACGTCTTCACCTGCTGGTGGAAGACAATGATAGAGGGAACTAGCCAAATCTCCCAGGGGAAGGCGTTCCAAAGGTTTGGCACCATGACAGATAAGATCCTTTCTTGGGTTGCCACCCTTCTAGGTTCAGAAGCAGGCTGTCTGACAATGACTGGAGTAGCTGGGTAGGTTTATATGGCAGTAGGTGGCCCTTAAGGTATTATATTACCTCTAAATAAAATGTATTCATAGTGAGTAAAAAAGGAAGGGTTATTAAACCAAATAAATTTTTAAATACTCTGCTCCCGCCATTCTGATAAATACAAATATGTTATAGCCCACAAACCAACATACTAGCATTTTTCATACTTCAGCATTTCTCGCGCTAGGATCTGGAGTCCTCTGATGTCTGCAAGGGCATTCCAGAGCATCCTGCAAGTGCCTTGTAAAGACTGAGCCCCTCTCCTGCCCATCCAACTAACATGAAACTAGAGCTCTCTCAATATTATAGAAACAGGGGTGGGAACTCTCTACCAATGCTCCCTCTAAGCTGCGGAGTCTTGTAAGCAAAAATCCTACTTTGTGAGCTACTGGCATTAAAGTTGTGAGTGAGCAATTTGGCTACTGCATAAATTAGTTTGCTCCGGAGCCATCCTTCCTGAGGTAAGATAAAAATGTGTGAGCTGGAATCTAAAAAACTGTGTGCTAGCTCCCACTAACTCAGCTTAGAGGGAACACTGCTACCTCTGGGGAAGGAGGTGGAAGCAGCTTCCCCATCTTCATTCCGCCTCCACCACCTGCAGACACCTAGCTTCCACATCACCTCAGAGCACTAGCCAACAAGTGTGCCAATTGACTGCAGGTGCGGTCCTAGGAACTCCATTGGACAAATGGCCCAAAGAGGTACCAAAGAGGTAGCTTCCACATCACCTCAGAGCACTAGCCACCAAGTGGGCCAATTGACTGCAGGTGCAGTCCTAGGAACTCAATAGGACAAATGGCCCAAAGAGGTAGAGTCCTAAAACAGTCATCATCAGTACTTCAGGTGATAAACTGAACCAATGCAAGTGATTTCACCACAGAGATAGACACCATTCTGAGCACATAACAGCACCTTGAATACTAAAAGTTCAGGCTTTGTGTGAAGCTGGTCTTTCCTTGGTCTGACACATCACTGCACCTCCGAATCTCAAGACAAAAGGGGGGGAAAGGCTTATTGATGCTTCTCAATACTATTTCTGCATACAATCTGATCAGCCTGAAATGGTTTAGGAGCTCCTGGAAAAAGAGCTCTGCAAGTTTTGCCAGACCCTCCCCACCCCATTCAGCAAGCCTTTGTCTAAAAGTTATTAACCAAGTAAGATATTTTGGGCCATCTCTGGTACAAAATCCCATGCAATCAAGGCTTCTAATCAAAACACAGAGCAGGGCCTTAGTTGCAGTCCTATAGAACCAGCTCTCTTTCCGAGACCGTGGCTTTTTGTAGGCCACCTACAAGCAACACAAACGTTACACTTTCTTTTAAAGTATACCTGAAGTGGTCCCCACTGTACTGTATTTGAGGAGAACTCAAGGCCTCCACAGGATACATGTAAGAGACCAGAGAGTTTTTTCTGTTTTGGGGGCTCAGCTTCGGAATGCTTCCCCCCTTGAGCCCTGCCTGGTGCCTACCTTTTTTTAGGCATCAGGCCTTCTTCACCCAGGTTTTTTACACCAAAGGGTGGTCTGCTGAAGACCTGAGCCTTGTTTTATTACTACTGTTCTGGGCTGCTCAAGGTTTGTTTTATACTATTTTAGTCCCTACTAGCCTGTTTGGTTTCATATGATTGTTTTAGTTACGAACCACTTTGAGCAGGTCTCTGGAAAGACAGTATACAAACTTTCCAAATGTGTACCATTTCCCCATAGTTATTATTCCAGTTGACTTTATTAAGTTGACCTTCAGTAACAGTTTCAGAGAACCAAAACTGCTTAAATGTGCCCAATGTTTCTTTTTTGTTACTTTTTGAAATCATAAGTTGCCTCTTTTGTTTTAAGTAGAAATTTAAATTAGGACAAGCATTAAATAAATACTGAGGTTGCGTTTTTCCTATACAACTACACCCCACTATCTTTCGAGGAATTCCAAGCAGCATGTGCAAAGTTTTCCTAGTTTGTCTTCACAACATTCTGCGAGATAAAGTAGGCTCAAATCAATGGACTAAGGCAGAACACAAATTTACACCCACGTCTCCCAAAACCCAGTCCAACACCTGTCACCTACAACTCACATTGGGATTATCAACATTTTCATCTTGCAGCTATGCTTTAAAAAATGTTGACTTGCAGACAGGCAGTACCTGGAGATAAGGACAATCTCCAATGTTGTGAGACGTCTCACTTGAACCTGATTTCTGCACATCAAATTGCCGTGAAAGGCCAATGAGGAAGCCTGGACATCTGTCCCTTGGTCATTTGGGAACCTTCCACACACACACACACACGCTATGGACTATAAATCATTCGACATTCACGTACATTTTAAACAAACCAAAGGACAGTTTCCCACTGCACACTCTCCCAAAATGATCTCCATTCAAAAACCAACCTTTAGAAGTGTTTTGGTTCCAAGAAGAAAGCGAGTTTAGGACCTCTCTCGGTTCTCTTCCGCCACCCGCTGCACTTGCCTTCCTCCTTTGCTTTCACTTTCCCAGCCTCATTGCTGAATCACTAATACCCCATCCCTAAAAAGAGTGATATTCTAATCTGATACCGGAGATCTCTAAAGCAGGGGGAACATGATGGGTGGATTACAAAATGAACGTCTCTTAGCAACAAACGCTCCCAGAAAGCTTGCAACATATAAACTTACTATCCCATCCTCATCTAAGGGGTTAAAGTTGAAAGCGGCGCCAACAAGCGCAGGAAAACGGGTCGCCTGCGAAAGAAAAGGTCGCGTTTCCTTTCGGTGCTGCCCTCTAGCACAGAGGACAGCCCCTTGCATTTCTTTCAGGAATAAAAAGACCACTAGATGGCGGCATTAGATAACCCAATTCAACCTTTTCTTTTTTGCTGAGATGTTTTGTCCACTGTCGTGAATACGACGAAAAGCCGACGCGTGCCCTTGTGATCTGATATTAAAATCTGTACAGCGTTGCACGTCTCAAGATTACCCTTCTAAGGGAGATGCAAGAAGCGGCTTTTGTTCTTTTTATATACTTTATTATCTCCGTGCAGAAGAATTGTGTGGAAAATTTGGAGGCAAGAAGGAGCAACAGGCCATACAATTGAATACTTCATGGCAAACTGTTTTTCGATATGTTGTGCTGTAAATATCAGGTGTTGGAGGCACTTCTAATTAATTGCCTTGCATTGTGAGAAGTCCAGAGGGGTAGCCCTGTGAGTCTGTAGTAGCAACTGAAGCCTAGTCATAACAACATAAGAAAATCCAATGTTGGATCAGGCCAATGGCCCATCTAGTCCAACACTGTCACACAGTGGCCAAAAATACCAGGTGCCATCAGGAGGTCCAGCAGTGGGGCCAGGACACTAGAAGCCCTCCCACTGTTGCCCCCCCCCCCAAGCACCAAGAATACAGTGCATCACTTGCCCCAGACCGAGAGTTCCTATCTATACCTTGTGGCTCATAGCCACTGATGGACTTCTGTTCCATATGCTTATCTAATTCCCTCTTGAAGCTGTCCATGCTTGTAGCTGCCGCCACCTCCTGTGGCAGTGAATTCCAAGTGTTAATCACTCTTTGGGTGAAGAAGTACTTCCTTTTATCCGTTCTAACCTGACTGCTCAGCAATTTCACTGAGTGCCCATGAGTTCTTGTATTATGAGAAAGGAAGAAAAGTACTTTTTTCTCTACATGCTCTATCCCACGCATAGTCTTATAAACCTCAATCATGTCACCCCTCTGCTGTCATTTCTCCAAGCTAAAGAGCCCTAAGCGCTTTAACCTTTCTTCATAGGGAAAGTGTTCCAACCCTTTTATCATTCTAGTTGCCCTTTTCTGCACTTTTCCCAATGCTATAATATCCCAGTTTGTCCATGCTTGTGTGCTAGGTAAGGGTAAACTGAAATGCTTACTAAAGTTTTATTGTGATGTGACATTTTTATGAACTAAAGACCACTTCATCAGATGAAATAAGTGTATCCTATATCAGGAGACCTATATATCTGTGTATGTAACAAAATTAGACAGCTGGCTGTAGAGAGTAATACTGAGGGGCACAAGCTGTGCAAATAGACTAGATGAGTAGGGCATTTTTGGCAGACGGCTTGTTGGTAAAGAGGGAAGAAAGCTGCTCCTGCTTCTTTTACATGATTATGATGGCTTCTATAGATACGAGAGGCTTTCCCCTGATCACTGTGCTTGCAATATTTAACAGTCGTTTCAATACTGAACAAGCAGTTCTTCCTCCTGCAAAAACAGTTGCAGCAATACTTGATGAAGAAACAGCAATAATTATCATCCCTTTTTTTGTGAACTGTAGGCAAAACTAGATTTATGAAGCATGTGATAGTCTTCCTCCCCAGTGGAGACCCAAACCAGCTTCCAATGTTCTCCAGTCCTCCATTTTATCCTCACAACACTGTGAGCTAGGTCTGGCTGAGAGAGCATGTCACCCAGACTGGGGGTCTGAATATTAAAGACACATGACAGGCTGCTTAAAAGCTCTCATATTAGGTTGCCTGTTGTCAGGGGTCGTTTCGTAGAAAAAGAGCTAGGGGAACTCATTAGCATAACTCATTAGCATATGCCACACCCCCTGACATCACCGGAAGTGTGTCATAAGGCCACACACCCTGCACCCAACGGTCCCGGCTGCCGCCGGCAGCCTTGCAGCTCCACTGCCGAGCCCGGCGGTGGACCTGCAAGGCCAGCGGGAGTGCAAGGAAGCCCCGCGAAGGCCCTCCCTGGCCCCAGGTAGGCAGTGGTGGGGAGAGGCAGGGAGGAAGCAACTTACCCTCCCTCTTCTCCTGCCTCCTCCTGGCTGAATGAGGGCCGGAAGCGGGGCGGCCGGAAGCAGGGGGCGGGGCTTCGTCATGTGCCCCCCCGTACCTCACCCGGGAGAACTGCGATCCCCCGCAATCCCCTGCGATCCCCCCCGAAATGACCTCTGCCTGTTGTGAAGATAACCTGGTCCAAGATGGCCTGATTCCCTTCATTCTTGCCACTGCAACTCCCATCAACATTCTGCGGTTGTTGGTTAGCTTTCAAACATGCAACATGATTTTCTGGTGTATTATGCCTGCCCTTAGTTTACATTGCAAATAGCATGGGGGTGGGCATGTCTGGAGATGACCTGGACAAGGATATTATTGGCCCTGGAATTCCCACAATCATCACAAAGCTGGTGGCCAGTTTTGAGTCTTCTAGCTTTATTTTCTGATGAGTTATGCCTGACACAAAATGGACAGATGGATGGACAAGTCAATTATTTTATTACTACAGATTCAAAGTAACAGAAATTCAAATGATTTGTTTTGATAGGATATTTCATTTGGATGAGGGTAATGGGGGGGACAGGCAGGGGTCATTTCCTGCAGGAGCGCACAGGAGCGGAGCTCTGGCAGTAAAGAGCCCAAGGGGCGGGCACATGCAACAAGCCCCACCCCCTGCTCCCAGCAGCCCTCAGTCAGAGCAAGAAGCAGCCAGGTAAGTTGCAGAACCCCCCCCCCGGCCCCCCAATCCAAAACAGTCCAGTGGCACCTTTAAGACCAAGTTCTATTCAGGTACAAGGCTCTCCCTCCTCTGCGAGGACAGATCTACACGTTTCCCCCCCCCAATAGCTAGCAATCCAAAACAGTCCAGTGGAGACTGAGCGGTAGGTGTTGCCTTCTGACACACTTCCAGTGATGTCAGGGGGTGTGGCATATGCAAATGTTATGCTAATGAGCTCCTGCACCTCTTTTTCTATGAAATGACCCCTGGGGACAGGTAGAATTTTTTCTGGGGATCCATGGTGGCACTTTGCAGCCCTGTTCAAGATGGCTTACAATTCCAAAGATTAAAACATACAAAATGCAATAAAACCCCATTAACACCCCCCCATGTAATGCCTGCATTCATCTCACCTACCCAACATATCATGGCTGGCACTATCTAATCAGATCAATAGCACACAATGTCCCTTATACCTTTCTAGGCATAGATCAATAAGATATTCAATGTTACGTGATAATTGCACAGGAGAAACAACAAGAATAATCTTTACTACTATGGAGAGAGATGGAGTATTTCTATTATTTCTTTCCCAAATAGCTGTAAAAAAATAATGAAGATCATTATGATTCTATCCACTTGGGTTTTAATATTTTCCAATCATCCATTCTTGAATATTTAGCATGAGTAACAACTATAAAGAAGTAAAATTAAAACCATCGATAACTTTTAAGAAAATGTTTCCGTGTTTAAATAAAAGATATTCAGTCAATCAAAACAAAGGCAACAATGAAGAACTCTCTAGCCGCAGAATTCTTGAACCGAATCTAATCACAGCAGGTTCAAAGAACCATGTTACCTGTTCTATAGGAGCAAAGGAGTCTAGACTTACTTTTCATAAATGTTCTTCCTCTTCTCCATATCCTACGCGGCAAAATGCTTTTAAAACTGGGGATAACTTCACCTGCTTTTTAAAAAAAGGATCAATAAAGCAAAAAAGGAATGCCATTTTCCTAGTGCAAGAGCCCAAGTAGTTCCTAGTCACAAGTCTCAAACTACCTGTGGTGTAAATTAGTAAGTATTTTACATGGTTCAGCCACAGATATTGCAATGTATCCGAGCACAAACAAGTTGATTGCAATAAAAATTAATATCTTGTACCTAATTTGAATAATGTCATCTAGGTGAGCAGGACCAGTTAATTAATTATAAATTGCAGTCTTTCTTAAGTTACCTCTTTGATATATTATCCCTGGCAAAATAAATTATTCATCATCTCACAAACTTTCTCAGCTGTAGGAAGCCTTAATCTCCTTTTCATCCAAAGTAGTATAACCAGTTGAACGGCCAGCCTATAATGTTATTGCTTATTTCATTAAAACAGAAGTTATAGTATTAAAATATGTCCAAAAAAAGATATGTAGAGCTTAAAATCTGTCAAACTATAAGCTGTGTGACCCCCAGATCCAGAGTGCAACAAGAGTTTTCTTCAGAGGGTATGTATGATTGCAACATTGCAAGCGATTAATGCTATGCTATTTATTTACAAATTGTTTATTAATTATTGGGTTGGATCCAGCCATCTCTTTCATCAGTTTCATCAAATTCATCAAATTACAGCCCCTGCTCTGCATGGTTTTTATAAATTCAGCTCCCATTATCTCTGACATAGCCTTTTTGACAGGCAAAGGGGGACCCCTTCCTCCCCTTTTCACCAGCAGAAAAGTTGGTTGGATCCAGCCCATTATCTAAATGTCTTCAACAACAGGAAACGGATGTGCTGATATGTTTGTTGTTTAGGGGAAACAGTGTGTTGTGCATTTTATATGTGAAAATACAACTGCATTTAGTATACATATTGTGAGTGTACACATGAAGGTCTAATATGCTTGTACTAGATCGCTTGGGTCTGAAGAACCAGGAGCAGAGTGAATATTTTTTTTGCTGCCTTCTTTTTGCTCTGGTCTTCTATGTTCCCACCCCCGTGCCTTATGAGACCTTGCAGTGACATCTCATTAGAGAAATGGTGTTTTTGCAGGGATGAAAATGTCCAGCTGTGCAGTTCTAAACTGAGTTACACCCTTCTAAACCCACTGACTTCAATGGATTTAGAAGGGT